AGCCCAAAGGCAAAGTGCCCGAGATCCGATGGGCACTCAGGTTTTGTTCCAGCAAGTTCTGAGCCTCAGAGATGTGGGCAGCCCGTGGGCAGCAACGCCCGCACCCACGTCACTCACGCTCCTGGGTCCACCCACTCCCTGGTTCAGATACGTCCTTCCTGTGCGCCAGGCCACCTGCCCAAGCCACACCACCCACCTGTCCTCACGTGTGTGCACATCACCTGCTGTCCTTCCACTGTCTGCACCACTGAGGACGCGGGTCTCCAGTTATGCTGCCACCCAACCCCAGCCCAGCCTCGAGAACTCCGCCCCGCTAAGGTCAGGGCAGCCTTCCCATCCCAGCTTCCCGAAGGGCCGTGCGTGCAGCAGACAAAGGTTCTCCACTGGGGTCAGTCTTGGCCACCAACAGCTCTCACGTGGCCCAAGGGGCTCCTCCCCTTCCTAGGCCGCTCCCCAGATAACCCATCCTCAGCAAATGACGCTCCTAGGCCACCCTGAGCCTGTACGAAGGCAGACGCTGACCAGCAAGGAGGGCCAGCTACCCAGGCGGTTTCCCAGACACTGGCATCAGGCTGAAGGAAGACGACGGGTGTTGGGTGGGGGGCTGGCCCCGTCTGCACCCCCAGCCCGGGAACCTTCCCTCCACTGTCTTCACGTGGGCCCCTGGGTGAGACCCGCCCTACTGGACATGGCTACAACCAGAGCAGCTGTGGCCAGCACCAGGCCCAGCGCTGCACACACCCAGTGGTCTCCACGTGACCAGACACACCGGCTGCCGTCCTCTCCAGGACACTGAGCTAACCTGACGCATCCAGCTGGACGCGGCTCACCTGCACCGCCCACCGTTTCTGCAGAAGCTCATCCCAGAGCCTGAGGAAGTAAAAACCAACACAGCCCTCGTTGCTCAGGCGAGCAGTGCGTGAAAACGCATCCTCGTGCTAGACGTGAAACCACTGACCTGGCGTAGGTGCCTTTTTGTGAATCCCAACGTGGGGCAGTCCTGGCCTGCGTTTCCTTCCGTCGGCTGTTCTCCTGCTGCGTGCGAACTGCTTGCTCACACAGTGCAGTAAGCGTGTGCACTGACAAACGGAACGTTAACCGTGATCTGGTTTTTCTTATTGATGAAGTCACTAAAAAAGTTCCCTTGGACATTTTTCTTTTCCTTTGAGTGGAAAAAGTTTGGTTACTTAAAAATGAAAGTACAGGC